AATATTATGGTCTGGAATGTAAAGATGCGATAGGCTCTTCAACGATCCCCTCTACTAACCTGCGCACAGAAACACATTCCATACGCTGAGCTCACAAGCTCAATGCCACGAGAATAACTATGTAATACAACATGCACCCATTATGAACATGCCGGTGTGCTAGATCATAAACATGCATAAGTACATAAAAATATGGGATATGCCAAGTGGTGTGGTCGGAGGAATTTATGTGCATCTCAGACAACACACTAGCCTATTTAGAACGTGATAGCTTCAGGGTAAGAACATAATTTATGTGCATAAGAACTTATAACCCTTAGTCTACCTCGAATCCTCGAGAGGTCGAGGTAAGGTCTATAATTTATGTGCATCGAAAGCTCACATCTTGAACCTAGTCGAACATAAGGCGTGATTTCAGAATTTATGAGCATCAAAATCCGTACTGGTATGACCCGAAATTTACGTACATTTATGCGTACCATCAAGAAATATCCTGATATTTACAAATAAATAACAATCGTCATAATGCTAGAGTAACTCGAGTGTCCAAATCATTTCCTGAGTGTCACACAAGGCAAATCTTATGTCTTCCTATCTTGCTTGATTTTTAGGTGAGAAATTAGAAGTCTTATTTGTTTTCACTTGTATTGAATACTTGTAGCTTATACGAACTCAAACCACCCAAGCCCGATCACCCAAATTAATTGAGCCAAAATTGTCAAAAATCATTGTGGGTATCGATAATGTGCCAACAGTATCAATACTCACCCCTTGGGTATCGATACTCACCCAAGTATCGATACCAAAATTTACTTCGATGTTTTGAAAAATGCTTGGGTATCAATACTCTTATGGGGAGGTAGTATTGATACCTAGGGGTCGGAATAGGCCAGGCCGGCCTACAGGGGCATACGGCCTGGCCTACATAAAGCCTGGCCTATTTAATAAAAAGGCCAGGCTCGGGCTTTTTTAAAAGCCTATTAATTTAAATAGGTCAGGCTTAGGCTTATTATTAAGCCTTATAAGCCTGATAGGCTGGCCTTATTAAGCATTCGGTGATGCCAAACATGGGCAGGGGATGGGCGTTGTTGTTGGGAATGGTGTGGCGTGGGGAACAACAAAATATGAGAGCTGCTTTCGGGCAAGGTGCTTGCGTGGGGAACAACAAAGTATGGGCGTTGTTGTTTGGCTCACGCAAGTTTTATCGAATAAGATATTATATTCATGCATGTTATGAACTTGTGATTCTGATTTTGCATTATAATTGGACACACAAGTTGTAAAATATTAATATTATAATTGACACAAACAAGTTGGATTTATTGGAAAAGTGAAATAACATGAATAATGGAAATTGGAGAAAGTTGAAACATAATGGGGCCATGTTAGCTCAGGTTGAGCATAACTTTTGCCTCTTATATATTAAGAGGTACTGTACAGACAGATATGTGGGATAAAATTAGTGTTTAAAATACTTATATTATTTTTTTGGGTACCAATATATATGTGTCCAACTAAATTAACGTTAGATTAAAAATTAAACCAAATTATATATTAAGGGTTTGTTTAACCTATTATAGAATGTGTGTTATTTTTTAGTAAAAATAACTATCAAATGAATATTAAATGTTTATTATGAAACAGCTTTTAAACAGGCCAGGCCGAGCCAAAATAAAAGCCTTTGACAGGCTACAGGCCAGGCTCAGGCCTACAAAATTCATCGTAGGCCAGGCTCAGGCCTATTAAAGCCTGGCCTGGCCTGGCCTATTCCGACCCCTATTGATACCCCACCTTGGGTATCGATACCCCATGAGTATTGATAATAAATTTAGCTTTGATGTTTTCAAAAATACTTCAATATCGATACTAACCCTCTGAGTATCGATACTGGGCCCCGAGTATTGATACCTCTATAGGGAATATCGATATTTCCCTTACAAAATGGCCTGATTTTGGCCTTTCACGAAGAATAGTATCGATACTGTTCTTCAAGTACCAGTACCCACAAATCAGAATTCTATGTTTTGAGCATGAATTTACACCCAAACTCACCCATTCACTCCCCTAAGACTAATAAACGTTTTTAAAGTCTTATTTAAGGTCTTAGAAGTAAAAAAAAAAGAACTATCTTTCATGCATATAACACACAATATGAATATTGCCATGAAATCTCTCTAACATGCCTGCATGAACAAAACATACCATTTATGCACACTAATGAACTACATGTGGTATGGACAAGTTAAAATCATGTTACCTTGAAGCTTGGTGACTGAAAAATGTCCTTGAATCACCCAAGGGTTAACTTTTCCTTGACTCTTGCCTTTGAGCTATCCCTTTTCTCTTACACTAATCAAAGCCATGAAAATGAGTTGTTAACTCATTTTAAACTTAAGGAAACACGAGAAATGTTTCTTACAACACGAAACTTCCCAAAGACTGACTGAAATTCTTGAATTTCATAAACCCCTCTAAAACCCACTTTTTGAAAACTCAACCAAAACTTATGTTTAGGGGCTTGAACCGAAGCTAGGAATGATGAGATTATAGTTCTTACATTAGTTGCTTCAGAGGTTACTTGAAACTTTAAAGTTCAAAGCTTTGTATAATCTTTGGAGGAAAAAAAGATAAGGAATAGAGAGGAAGAAAACAACAAAGGGATGAAAAAGAGGAGCTTGGTGCAGACTTGATATCATCCCAAATAAATAAGATTCAGTCTTTGGTTTGAAAAATGGCTTAATTTCCCACAGTCATACCATATTTGATGCATGATTAAAATCATCCCCTTTTTAAGCTAGTTGGGCTCATCCCAAGCCCAGATCAAAACCTCTTGGGTCCAAAGCTTTATATATTAAGGTAAAATCATTCCTAAGCCCAAACGAATAAACTCGAAACCCATAATTTAGGGCGTTACAAGGATATCATGAATAATGATGTTTTTTTGGACAGATTTATATTTCATTACTTTTCTTATTGTTTCGTAGTTCTACAATATTTATTGGTTGCTTTTTTCTAGATGTTTGGCTTCTTCATTCATTTGTATACGATATTTCGTTGGTTTTTAGATATGTATTGGATGAAACTATTGTTAAGGAGGGATTGATTTTAATTTTCCAGCTTTGGATATTATTCAGGTTTGCCTTCTCTATGTTTGGTGCTCGTGGATGTCAGAGTGATCCATTTATGTATGTTGTGGCCTCAATTATTTTCGCTCTTGCTCATTAGACTATCATCAATCGCTCACCATTATATTTTACTTATGATAATCATAATGTATTTGTTCAGCATGTATGCAATGGTATGTTGTTGATGATGCTTTATTTGACTAATGCTATCATACTCTTATTTTTATATAATTTTTACATTTTTTCTATTAAGTGATTTTAGGGTTAAGACCCGTAAATGCACGTTACTTGCATGCCTTTGTAATTTGGTCTGAATCTATGTTATAAAAATATTCTCCTATCACAATTTTTTCCTCCCAATTTTTCTTATATTTAAAATTGATTCTTATTGTTTTTCTTAAGACCCATAATACATATGATTATTTTCGAATAAAATTTTTCTTTATATATATATATTTTTTAACAATAGCAACTAGTTTTTATTAATAATAGAATAAATTAAAATTACAACGCATTATAATAAAGAGATAAATTTGGAGACAATGGTCACCAAAATACTCGAACAAAAGTAAATAATAAACCTAAAAATACGAAAAAAATTAAAACATTTCTTTGAGAATAACGACAAATATCAAAACTCAATAACCTTTATACAAACTCATTGTCTCTGTCAATGAGATGCTTGACGAAGTGATAAAGGAGTAGAGAGCGAACCGAATAATCTGGCAGAATGTTTCGCTACACAATTCTGATTATATCGGCAAACAACCTTTTACCAAAAGAAGGGATCTGACTATACGTGACCACCGACTAACCAATCAGAAAATAAATGTCGTGATGATTTTTGTTCGAGAACCAAACTACCGTAAAGGTATGCGAAAAAACGTACCGAAAATTATGAGGATCGTGCCACAATAGCATAGAAAAAACATATCACAATGACATAGATGCTTATTCAGAATTAAAAAGACTCAAGAAAAAAAACATAAATATATAATATTAAAAAATAAAAGAACTATTATACTCCGACGGTCGATAACTAACATTAAACTTGATGTCGCTGTCGATTAAATAAATATCAAAGAGAAAGAAGAAGATCACATAAAATTATTGAAAAAACAATGTTACAAATTTGTATGCCATTTTCATTACCATTTTCTTTATATTTAAAATTGATTCTTATGGAGTAGTATTTTCGTTTATAACTGTCGGTGACTCTGACATTCTACTATCACATTTTTTTCCTCCCAAATTTTTCAATACAAGATTGAGATGATTACACCAATTATTATAAAAATATTTTATTTTTTAAACAATTTTTCGAAAACTTTATTTTTAATTTTTTTAAAAAATATTTCACTAATTTAACCGAGCATAAAGGGAAGGTAAAAGGTGTTGTAAGTTCCACCGTATTAAAATGTTTCAATCATAAAGGATATGTTGCACTGAACAGTGAACATGAAATTTGAAGCCATTGCTGGCTGGCTCCTTCGGGGAATAAAGTGCCCAAAAATATACCGGAATTTATTTGTAATCTAAAAGCATTTTTAAAATTAATGATATTTAGCTTTTTAATTAATTTAATTTAAATTAAATATATTCAATTTTACACATCCAAATTATAAATTTATTACTACATTTGTTGTTTCTCCATCCAATTTCAAAAGATATTATTGGAGTGTGGAGAAGGGGCTTGGGCAGGTGTTTTTCATTATATGATTCACTCCATCTAAATACTGAAATAAAATTTTGATTTTTTTTAAAAAAATTATAAATAATTATATTCTCAAAAATAAATCATTTAACGCAGAATATCTTTGTATTGCCTTTACGTTGTGTGTGTATATATTTACCATGATGGATTAAGGCGAAAGCATGCATTGTTTGTTCACAATTCTAATATTACAGTGATGGACACCTTTTCTCCTTCATTTCTCTCCACATTACCGCCTAAAGCAAAACTCCGGTCTCCGGCCACCGTCACCAGATCTATTACTTCCCCACCATCTTATGTTCCTCGCCGTTGCATTTCCTCCGTGAGAATTGAAGAAAAGGCTCCAACGACCACTACCACCACCACCAAAACAGCACCACTCCAACTTCCAAAAACTCAGCCTCCACCACCAACGCCGCCATCATATGCTTCTCCGTCGGCCGTGGCTAAGAAAAGAGTAGAGCCGAAGTTGTCCACTGTGATCTTCAACACATTTGACGACATCATAACCAACTTTATAGACCCTCCAATCCGGCCTTCAGTCGACCCCAGGCACGTCCTGTCCCACAACTTCGCTCCCGTCGATGAGCTTCCTCCTACGCCGTGTGAAGTCATACAAGGATCACTCCCGCCGTGCCTCGACGGCGCATACATTCGTAATGGCCCCAACCCTCAGTTCCTCCCCAGGGGACCCTACCACCTCTTCGATGGTGATGGAATGCTTCACTCCATTCGAATCTCCGACGGCAAAGCCACTTTGTGCAGCAGATATGTCGAGACATACAAGTACTCCGTTGAAAAACAAATTGGTTCTCCGGTTCTTCCCAATGTTTTCTCAGGATTTAACGGCCTAACGGCCGCTGCAACACGCGGTGCTCTCTCCGCCGTTAGGATTCTAACCGGCGAGTTCAATCCTGCAAACGGTATTGGCCTTGCAAACACTAGCTTGGCCTTTTTTGGGAACCGGCTCTACGCACTCGGTGAGTCAGATCTACCTTATTCCATTCGCTTAACATCCACAGGGGATATAGAAACATTGGGTCGCATTGATTTTGATGGAAAACTGTTCATGAGCATGACTGCTCACCCGAAGATCGACGCCGACACCGGCGAGGCTTTTGCTTTCCGATATGGCCCTGTGCCACCATATCTAACATATTTTTACTTCGATGCTAATGGAAATAAGAAACCAGACGTTCCTATATTCTCCATGACCCGCCCGTCTTTTCTCCATGACTTTGCAATTACAAACAAGTACGCAATATTTGCCGATATACAGATAGGAATGAACCCCATGGACATGATCTTCGGTGGTGGATCTCTGGTGGGTGCCGACCCGGCTAAAGTACCTCGAATCGGAGTCATCCCTCGATACGCGAAAGACGAGTCTGGAATGAGGTGGTTCGATGTGCCTGGATTCAACCTAATACACGCCATCAATGCATGGGATGAAGATGATGGGAACGCCATAGTCTTGCTGGCACCCAACATTCTATCAGTAGAACATACCCTGGAGAGAATGGAGCTGGTCCATGCTTTAGTTGAGAAGGTGAGGATCGACTTAAGAACAGGGATAGTAACAAGGCATCCAGTTTCGGCAAGAAATCTTGACTTCGCAGTATTGAACCCGACTTATGTTGCCAAGAAGAACAAATATATGTATGCTGCTGTAGGGAACCCCATGCCGAAAATAGCAGGGGTGGTGAAATTGGATGTGTCCAACGGAGAGCGGCGAGAGTGCACGGTGGCAAGCAAAATGTACGGGCCAGGTTGCTTTGGTGGGGAACCGTTCTTTGTAGCCAAGGAACCAGAGAATCCAGAGGCAGACGAGGACGATGGATATGTGGTCTCTTATGTCCACAATGAAAACACAGGGGAGTCGAGGTTCTTGGTGATGGACGCGAAATCACCCGATCTCAACATTGTGGCATCCGTGAGGCTGCCCCGCAGGGTGCCGTAGAGCGCAGTACAAATATTCTTTCCTCTCAGGCTCATGTGGATCATTCAATAATTAGAAGATATATGTATATGTGTGGTCATTATTTGTGTATACTGCATGCACCATAGCAGATGAAGGTACAAGGTGTTTAAAACATTGGATAAATACCACCTAGCTGTATTAATTACAGAAAAATTGAACCTTTAAACATTTATTTTTGGGTTTAATTGCAGCCTAAGAAGAACAGCTTCACGTTTATCCCTTGTAATCTTAGAACAGCAGAAATGACAAGTGAATCTGGGACAGCCATAGAAGAGTAAAGAGCTTCTCAAGAAGAAGAGGAAATTCATGCTTATCCCAATCAGTCCCCCCCCATCAGTTTACCCCAAGCTAAGGGTAACTTTTAGTTACCTAATCTAGTTTGGTTGGCACAATCTTAATACACAATTATCATGATTAATTAAACAAGCAGGTCAATTTTTACCCATGTCAAAAATGAACAAGTACCAGGATAGGATATGTAGGCAAAAGGATGAATTGATGATGTTTAATCCTCAATCCATTCCACTAAATTAGGGGCAGTCACGGTCCTAATTTAACTACTACCTGTATGTAATAATATTCAGACTAATTTATATAATAATAATTTTAATCCCTAAAGCTTATATATTCTATCAATTTAGTACTAATTTAAACTAAATAAATTTAACCCTTATTTTTAAAAATTCATCAATTTAGTCGTTTTTTGAGATGTCAAACTTAACGTTTCCATCTAACTAAAATAACAATTAGATAAATACATTTTATTATAAAGCAACATCAAATTACTATTCTAACTAATATTTAACTATCAATAGCATGTTTGTAGTAGTATTTTAATTGAATAATTAAATTAGAACTTTTTAAAAAATAGAAACTAATAACTGGCTTAGATGTATTTTGCACTTGTTTTTATTGGTTTGCAGAAGCTTCCGGTTTAAAGAATAATAGTGGAACTATAACATAGGAGAACCATAAGAAGTGGCCATTTCGACTAATAATTTGTTTCCTCATTAACAATTAAGCCACCGTAAAATGAAGGGGTAGACTGACAGCTTCCCTTGTTTAGTGTGTTCAAGACAAATTCAACTTGGGATTTGCCTACATCTCCTATCCATAATTCTATATTTCGGAGTTCATCGGTTCATCCTCTAAACTGAAATAGAGGAGGACTGAAGGTTGGTTATGTTCAAAACTCAAGGAACTGTCAGTCGACCTGCATGCCCCAACGACTTCCACAACGATTCCAGCCGCATTAAATGCAACTTCTCGACAAATGGTTCAAGGATCTCTGCCTCTTCTTCAGGAGCAAAGGCCATGCAAATGCTAAGCTCTTGCACTGCCTTGCCATATTCCCTGACATTATTTTAGTTGTCAAATTTAGTTCCATCCACCACCCAAACCCTCTTTTTTAAAAAAGCTAAGAGTTTTCGGAATTCATACCTACTATAATACAGCATCATTCCATGGTCTCTCCTCAGCGCCCAATTATGTGGCTGCAGTATCAACAATCTTTCTGAAGCCATGATAGCCAGCCTGCGAAGAAACTCGTCTCATTTAGCATACCATTTATGAAGATGCTTGCATAGTATAAACCGAATTAACAGCCTGCCTTCAAGCACGACTTAGACACAAGTTTTGCAGTTGACCTTACACCAATACTACAGGAAGTACCGAGAATAAACTCGAAACAAAGATCAATCTCATCAGCATGAAGCAAACATGTTATGTAGTTTAAAGAATGGTATTACTGGAAACCAATTTTATGAACCACTCTTAGAGGTGCTTTGCACAACAAATCAAATTCCTACCAAATTAGCAAGGCATTAACATTGTCAGTGTGAAAATATATATAAAAGGAAATATGTTTAAAATACAACAAATCATAAAGAAGTGTCTTCTCTACAAAATGCATGAGGATTAAGAGTTCTTGACAGTAAAAAGTTCGCCGATGAGCGATCTCCAATACTACAGTTCCTTACCAGTCAAGCATTAAGTGGAATAAAGGCCTATCCCACCACCAAGCATCAGAGCAAAAGAGAAACAAAGGTTACAGTTATAATTGAAAAGAATGTGACAAAAATACAAAAACTAAAACTAACTTGCAGAGCACAGCCTTTACTATCAGCTTCAAACGCATAATGAAATTGTTGAGTGGCAGCTAAAGAAAACAAATGTTGCAGAAAGGCAGATTTTGGGAAGAAAGTTACGCTACTAATCATAAAAATAAATCAAACTCACCTAAGATCTTGCGGGCGCAACAAAGGGACATTGGATTTATCAATCATGTTAGTTTTCTCACTGGCATTATGAACATGCCTAAGAGGAGAAGTCAGCATCAATCCATGATTTGATCTTGAAGCATGTTTCCAATGAAGCCCCTGCAATTGTTTTTAATTAGTTTATTTCATATGTAGGAAAGAAATCTAGAAAAATTTTGAGGCACTAATAGCTTAGAATAAATTAATGAATGTAGAACTAGTTGTACAACTTGATGATAAGGCTTAGGACTTACAATCAAATTGGCTAATGCAATGCCAATAATATCACGGTTGGTAGCTATCTCAAGCCCTAAAAGTGAAGTACTAATTAAATATGATGCCATTGATCTAGGGTCCTCCACACATCTTCCATTGACAATAGTGTTGGGAAATTTAAACGAGTAAATTCCCTATAACTATATTAGTGAGAATGCGAAATAATAATATCCGAAATTGATAACGTAGTTCGGTCAATTATGCCTACGTCTCCAGACTGCTGCAAATCTTTTACTAAAGATAAAAGAGAGAAAATTTACAGGTGTTTACAAAACACTCACAACTCACAAGAAAACTCTCTAAACTCTTTAGTATTAGGAGAAAGAAATGATTTGGGATGATTTTGAAACTAAATGAGTTAAGGTATTTATAGTTGAAGCTTAAAGACTAATCTTGTAAATACCCTAAAGTACATAGACTAAATTTACAATTTTCCCATTATCATTTTTCAACAAAAATCTGTCAAACTTTGAACCATGCACCATTCGGTGCCAATTCAGTGCCAAACTTTGACTTTCAACAATCTTCCACTTGAAGATTGACTTTAATTTGTCTTCACACCTCGATCAATGCAGCAGCATTCTGGTCTTGTTACTCTAGTATGCCAACTGAAGCTGAACACAACTTTAATTTATCCGTAGTCACCGTCTTTGTTAACATGTCTTCCGATTTTGAGCTCCATTAATATTTTGAAGTTTCAAAATCTCATATTCCAGAAGAGACCGGATAAAATGATACTAAGTTTTCTTGTGAGTTGTGAGTGATTTGTAAATACCTGTAAATTTTCTCTTTTTAGTAAAAGATCTGCAGCAGTCTGGAGACGTAGACATAATTGACTGAACTTTGTTATCAATTTCGGGTATTATTATTCCGCTTTTATTTCGTATTATCACTAATCTGGTTATAAAAAATTACTCGTTTAAATTTCCTAACAACTGGTATCAAGAGCTTTTAGTGGTAAATTTTGTCGTTTTTTTTGCGATGTTACTATTCACGTGAATAATGAATTAGTGAATAGTAAAATTTGGTCAGCGATACGAGTTTGTCGATGGAGGTGTTCTAATCATGGTTATCAAAACCGGATCGGACCGGCTGGTTTAACCAGTTGAACCGTGAACCGGTGGCCTGTCCGGTCCGGTTACCTCACAAAACTGGACTGGCAATGAACCGACTGAAAACCGGTAAACCGGCTGAAAATCGATAAAACCGGGGTGAACCGGCTGAAAACTGGCAAAACCGGTTTGAACAGCCGGTTCACTTTTTTTCTTTTAAAAAAATATTAAACCAAACGACGTCGTTTGTTCAACGAGCTAAGTCAAATTCGAGTATTGTTTAGCTAGACTCGAACTCGAAAACTTTAAAAGTAAGCTCAACTCGACTAAAAAACTCACGAGCTAAAAATTATCAAGTTCAACTCGAACTCGAAATATAATATTAAAACTTAAACTCGAAAAGGCTCGAACTCAAAAAAATTTTAGAAGTTCGATTGAAGCCTAAAATTTGAGCTCAATTAAAGCGAAAGAATAATTCGCTCTGTGCTCAGCAAAAGACTCCATGATTTTGAATGTCAAATTACCTCTATTATTTATAGAAGTAAGTTGGGATGCTCTTCTATGTTTCTTAGCCATGTGGGATTGTTTTTTTTTAAATTAAACCAAATGACATCATTTGTTATGATTTTTTAAGCCCCAATTTTATTTTTTTATTATAGTCATATAATTATATTTATTATTTAATATGTTTTACCTTAAATATTATGTTGTAGTTGATTTGAATCATTTTGTTTTACTTGATTTTATGGTTTTAAATTTATATATGTTATGACTTGTGATATTTTTATACATTTTAATATTGTAAACTTAAAAAAAGTGTTACATATATATTAATATTACTTTGAATATTATGTAAAATTAAAAAAATATTATTTTATATAAAATCTGGTTCAACCGCGGTTGAACCCGGTTAAACCAGTGAACCAGTACCTTCACCGGTTCAATGTCCGGTCCGGTTTTAAAAACATTGGTTCTAATACACGGTAGTTGGCAAGAATTGTCAGAAACGATCCAAAAGAAGTCAGATTGGAGTAGGAGCGATGGTTGCAAACGAAGAGAAGGTGAAAATTGAGAAGTTCGATGGTGCGGACTTTGACTTTTGGAAGATGCAGATTGAAGATTTTCTGTACCAGAGAAATCTATATAGCTTCTCTCAGGAAAGCAATCAGAGGGCATGAAGGATGAAGACTGAGCTCTTCTCGACAGACAAGCCCTCGGAGTTATCTGACTGACGTTATCCTGCAATGTTGCTTTCAACATAGCAAAGGAAAAAACTACGACGGGAGGGACATTGGCTTCAAACAAAGTTCACTTGATGAGGCAATTATTCAATTTGCAGATGGCGGAAAGGAATCAGTGGCTCAATACCTAAATGAACTCAACACAATCACAACCCAATTGAGTTCCGTAGAAATTGAATTCGATGATAAAGTTCGAGCTTTAGTTCTCTTATCATCTCTACCAGACAGTTGGAATGTTACTATTACAGCAGTCAGCAGCTCGTCGGGAAACAATAAATTGAAATTCGACGATGTTCGAGATCTGGTATTGAGTGAAGAAATTCGACGGAGATAATTGGGTGAAGCATCAAGCTCCTCAGCCTTGCACACGGAGTCTAGAGGGAGAACTTCATAAAGAAATACAAATCGTGACAGATCGAAATCTAGAAGGGGAAAATCAAGAACGGAAAATAAATATTTTAACTGTTATAATTGCGGCAAGAAGGGTCACTTTAAAAGAGATTGTTGAGCATCAAAGAAAGATACTGGCGCTCAGGAATCTGCCAACGTAATAGAGGAAACAGGTGATGCCATAATTCTAAGCGTCAACATCTGATTGAATCATGGATCTTGGATTTAGTGACATCTTTCCACACCACCCATGTCAAGAAATCATGGAGAGCTATGTCAGTGGTGATTTTGGGAAAGTTCATCTAGCTGACAATGAAACCTTGAAGATCTTTGAAAAATGAGACATCCGATTAAAATTGCCAAACCAGACCATCTGAAAGCTGAAAGGAGTGAGACATATTCTTGGCCTTAAAAGAAATTTGATTTCTGTAAGAAAGCTTGATGGAGAAAGATATAATACAACCTTTTCAGGCTATGAATGGAAGATTACCAAAGGAGCACTCGTCATTGCTCGTGGTAAGAAGACTGTTACTCTCTATGTAACCTCAAACTTAGAGAATATCATTGCAGTAGCAGATGAAAAATCAAACATATGGCACCAAAGGCTTGGCCATATGAGCGAGAGAGGGATGAAGACACTTTTGTCAAAAGGGAAGCTGCCGGATCTAAAGAGTATAAATGTCAGACTATGTGAGAATTGCATCTTTGGCAAACAAAAGAAAATCAGTTTTGTAAAGATTGGCAAGACACCCAAGGCTGAAAAGTTAAGTTGGTTCATAATGATGTATGGGGACCATCTCCAGTTCTATCTCTTGCAGGCTCACTATATTATGTCACTTTCATCGATGATTCTACAAGGAATGTGTGATTTATTTTTTGAAAAAGAAATCAGAAGTCTTTGATATCTTCAAAAAATGGAAGGTTATGGTGGAAAATGAGACTGGTTTAAAAGTCAAGCGGTTGAGGTCTAATAATGGAGGAGAGTACAAAAATAGTAGATTCAGATAATTTTGCTTAAACAATGGGATCAAGATGGAGACAACAGTTCCCATGACACCGCAGCAGAATGGCATAGCAGAGCGCATGAATATAACTCTGAATGAACGTGCCAGAAGCATGAGGATACATGTCGGTTTGTCCAAATTACTATGGGCTGAAACTATCAACACTGCAACTTACCTGATCAACCGTGGGCCCTCAGTTCCCTTGGTTGGTGGAATACTAGAGGAAGTTTGGAGCAGAAAAAAATAAATCTTTCACACTTAAGAGTGTTTGGTTGTATTTTTATGTACACATAAATTCTGCTGAAAGAAGCAAACTTGATGTTAAGTCCAACAAATGTGTCTTTGTTGGTTATGGTGGTGATGAGTTTGGTTACTATTTTTAGGACTATGAAAATCGAAGGATTATCAGAAGCAAGATGTCATTTTCAATGAGAATGTGATGTACAAAGACATGTCAACCATAGAATCAAGTAGCTCCAATACCGAAGCTGAAACAAAGAAATTTGCTGAGTTTGAAGAGATTTCTGGAAACGATATTCATATTAGTCCTGAAGTGGTTGAAGAAGAACCAAGCACACCAGAACTGAGACGCTCCTCCAAAATTCCTAAATCAACCCAGCGTTATTCGCATTTTTGCATTACTTGTTGCTGACTGACAATGGTGAACCAAAATGCTATGATGAAGCAATGCAGGTGAATGATTCAGTCAAGTGAGAGTCTTCCATGAAAGATGAGATGGACTCGTTTATGTCAAATCAGACGTGGAGATTAACTGAATTACCACAATGCAAAAAAACGTTTCATAACAAGTGAGTTTACAGGATCAAAGAAGAGCACGATGGGAGCAAATGCTACAAAGCAATATTGGTTGTCAAAGGTTTTCAGTAAAAAGAATGTATTGACTACACTCTTAAGTCGTGAAACTGTATATAATCAGACTGGTGTTGAAAATTGTAGCTGCAGAGAATCTACATCTTGAGCAGTTAGATGTAAAGACAACTTTCCTTCATGGTGATTTGGAGGAAGAAATCTATATGAGGTAACCAGAATGCTTCATAGAGGCAGACAAGAAAAACCTGGTATGCAGGTTGAAGAAGAGCTTGTATGGTTTAAAATAAACTCCTACAGGGGCGGACCTCTATGGAGCCCGGGGTATCCCGGGCAACCCCTCATCCAGGGGTGGACCTCTATAGTGCTCGGGGTATCCCAAGCAACCCCTCCACAAGTGTCACCCCTAATCCAAGTGCCACCCCTGGGGCTCTTGCAACCCTTGATGAAGGCTCCTGGGTCCGCCTTGAGCTCCTAGACAGTGGTACAAGAAGTTGGATAGCTTCATGGATAACAATGGTTTTACCAGATACCAAGCAGATCATTGTTGCTACATCAAGAAGTTCGACAACTTCATTATTTTATTGTGTTACGTTGATGACATTCTCGTTGCAGGCTCAGATATGCAAGAGATTATAAACTTGAAGAAAAAATTGTCGAAGCAGTTTGCAATGAAAGATCTAGGCACTGCAAAGCAGATTCTTGGGATGAGATTAAGAGATACACAAAGTCGGGGACTTTAATGTTATCACAGCTGAGTATATCACCAAAGTACTCTCCAGGTTCAACATGCAAGATGCTAAGCCAGTAAGTACACCTTTAGGTGTTCATTTTAGACTCTCCAAAGAACAGTCACCAAAGATAGAGGAAGAACGTGCACACATGGTGAAGGTGCCGTATGCCTCAGCAATTAGAAGACTGATGTATGTCATGGTTTGTACTAGACCAGATATTGCCCATACAGTGGGAGCTGTTAATAGGTACATGAATAATACGGCAAAGTACACTAAGAAGCAGTCAAATGGATCCTCAGATATCTACAGGGTACCACAAACAAAGCATTTTATTTCAAAGGTGGAGATACGATACTGACAGGCTATGTATATGTTTACTTAGCCGGAAATGTTGACATAAAAAAACACTACAGGGTATGTCTATACTCTAGGAGGTACCGCAGTGAGTTGGGTTTCTCAACTACAAAGATAGTTGCTCTCTCATAACTGAAGCATAATATGTCGCTGTTACGGAAGCCATCAAGGAGATACTTTGACTCTAAAGTTTCTTGGAAGAGTTAGACAAAAACAAGAAAAATGTATTGTATTGTAACAGTCAAAGTGTTATCCATCTAGCGAAAAATCTCTCTTTTCATTCAGGACGAAGCACATACAATTGTGATATCATTTTATCCGGTCTCTTTTGAAAGATGGGATTTTGAAACTTCAAAAGATTAGTGGAGCTCAAAATCTGGCAGACATGTTAACAAAGACGGTGACTACGGACAAACTGAAGTTGTGTTCAACTTCAGTGCTGTTGTATTGATCGAGGTGTGAAGACAAGTAGGAGATTGTTGAAAGTCAAAGTTTGACACCGAATGGTGCATGATTCAAAGTTTGATAGATTTTTGTTAAAAATGGTAATGAAAAAATTACAAATTTAATCCATATACTTTAAGATATTTACAATATTAGTCCTTAAGTTTCAACTATAAATACTCTAACCCATCTAGCTTCAAAATCATCCCAAATCATTTCTTTCTCCCAATACTAAAGAGTTTAGAGAGTTTTCTTATGAGTTGTGAGTGTTTTGTAAACACCTGTAAATTTTCTCTTTTTAGAAAAAGATCAACAGCAGTCTGAAGACGTAGGTATAATTGTTCGAACTCCGTTATCAATTTCGAGTATTATTATTCCGCTTTTATTTCGCATTCTCACTAATCTGGTTATAGGAAATTTACTCGTTTAAATTTCCCAACAAATAGCAAAGAAGCTGTGCCCTGAAGTCACTTTGAAGAGTTCCCACAGAGAGAAGAGTAGAAGTGCATTTGAAGTCACCTTAGGAAAGCGAGCGGATGAAAGAGAAAAGACTCACTTGTAATGTTTCCAAGAGAAAAACATTACAATGGATCGGTTAAGACATTAGACATGCATCGCTACAAGTATGATCACTGAAAATGTACCATGAAACTAAGCTGCAAAAAGAAAAATTCAAGATTGAAGTACCTCGGGGTACCCTATCTGGGGCCATATCAAAAAATCTTCCCCAACACGAGATCCCACGATGGTTAGACCAAGTCGCCGACAAACTTCAATGTAAATTATGCTAAGCAAAATTGTTGTTAAAAAAATCAGTTAGTGGACAACCCAAAATGATACGTGCATAGGAGGGGGAAACTAATAATTTTGGACAAAGCTTCCACCTTCACTCTCACATGATGACAATGAATTGCACAGGAAGAATATGTTTTGCAGAAAATTTTGGAGGGAAAATGGTTTGCAGCAAGTGAGTCTTATTGCAAAATGGAAATAGAATTGGCTTTACCACTGCCACATCCGGAGTCAAGTACTGAGTGTAAGTAAGAATGCTTAGAATCTACAAGAACAGGGAATCTTGTCAAGCCTCTCAGTTCAAAAAGAACCACATTGACCGCCTCCAAAACTTCAACCAGATGGCAGCCTATGTCCCTTGAAACTAGCTCTGCTTCAACTTCTTTAGCAATTGCATCCAACTCACTTAGCCATTCAGGTATGGTCTTTCCGCCCAAAGGCATTCGCTCCAACGAATCCCAGTCTTCAGTCTCCAATGAGGAAGAAACATTTCTCCTTTCATTCAGGAGAGGGCTAGCATCCTTCTCTCGGTTAAAAGACATGAATGCCTCGTCTTCAGCTGCAACATAAATTAAAGCCTACAAGAAAATATACCAAACAAAATAAAACTTGCAACTTACGTATCAAAAGCATCTCACTTCTCACCAGTCACCGATAAACAATGAATCAGTGAAACCTTGTGAATATCTAGCGGCTAGACCATTTGACAAGGTCAAAACCGAAAATACACGAGGAAATAAGCAGGTAGCCATTAGTACCGTAGCAAGAGAGATGTCTTTATCCTTTGACTGGAAGGAGATTTCCCGAGTGAACTTGTCCCTTGCAGTCTTAAGAGCCTGTGGATTGTATTAGAGTCCAACAGAAAATCAGAAAATGGAAATGGAATATAATCTAAATATCGAAACCGATTACTGGTATTGTGGATATCCATAATGGAAGAAAAAATATGTTTACGTATCGTTTATAGATCAACCTCCTGGTAAAATTTGTGACGGGAAGAAGAAGAGTCTTTAGTTAGCTGAATCTGATTGGAAAAAAGAGGGTAAGCGGAATCGGAAGAGGGAGTAGCGGCAGCGGTCCTAATCCTCCACCTCCTCAAGTCCTTGTGACCATTACGATGGTGATGATCATACCTGATGATCGTAAAGAATAAACGGATATTCCACGGGGGTTTTTTACTCTTACAAATCCTTCTTCCTTCTCTAATTCATTATACTAATACTACTACTAGGAAAACATCCTAATCCCCACACCTTTTGATGTTAAAAACCAAGTACCCGAGCAGTCAAATTATAGTAAACCCACTTACCAAAATCAATCACTAAGCATAAAAGAACTCTAAAAGAGAGAGAAACAAGTTCAAATATCGGAGAATTACCTGATAAAGCAATGATTTGGAAATGTTGGATGAGCCATAGCTGCCGTTGGCACCAAATTCGATGTGGACAACATTTCTCTGGATAAAAAATGGAGCTAACAAAAATCATCTACACCTACAGCAAGAGAGAGAAAAAAGAAAGGGAAGAAGATCAAGCAAGTTCTCTAAAGGGAGACGAAGAAGCAATGAATTTGGAAGAAGCAGAAGAGGGTTTCAATATAAGCTGAAGATCTCGGGTTCTGAGTAACAGCTTCCGATTCAAGAACACATGTATGGTGATGAAGATGAAGCAGAATTCACAAAATCCATAATAAGTAGTCGCTAAATTCCAAATTGGTAATTTTCTTCTTCGTTTTCTCTTGAAATTCAGAAAAGCAAGTTGGGTTTAACAAGAAAGAGAAGAAAAAAAAAGGGTCGGTAGTAATTATAGATCTACAAGCCGAGGAGGAGGAGATTGCACCTTTCTTCCACCTCCTTAATGAAAGTTGGTGATACTAATTTATACGGAAGGAGCAAATCAATAAGCTAAGGTATTGCCGAATTTCTGAATCAACAAGTGTTAATTCAGTACCTCTTATCTTATTTTAGGATAAATTATACATTCAGTACACTAATTATTACTTTTGTTCTGTTTTAAATACTTAACGATTTTTTTAAAATTATATTTAACGTTTAATTTAATTTTATTTTAATCATTTATTATTAAAAATTAACGATGATACTAATATATTATTATATCAAACTGTCACATTATTATTAAAAAAATAAAAAAAAATCACGTCAAACAATTATGTTAATGTACGTAACATATAATTATAAAAATAAATTAAATAATCAAAACAAAATAAAAATAATAATTAAGATATTAAATATATAATTTACTTCTTATTTTATATAATAAATAGTCATTGACGAATGAATAATTTATATTCAACAATAAAAATTCAAAAAATAAAAAAATTCAAACGTATAGATAATGATTTTTATTACAGTTACATAAGTTTTGATGTGACATGTCGCATGATTGAGTTGACATTATTTTATCATTTTGACAACCTTTGGTAAATCACCTTAACTCCCACTTTAAAATATATATTGTAAAAATAGTCACTAAAATATAAATAAGTTTCGCTTTTAGCATTAAATTTTTTAAAAATAACAGAAAGAGTATTGATCTTATTATTTTATAACAAATTAATCACTTAATTATTAACAAAATTATTATTTTTTACTTCATTACATCTCCCTTCTTTTATATAAAAATTTAGTGAGGTAATAATAATTATATTATCGGTTTGGTGGCTAAACTACCCAAATAGTGCGTTTAGGTTCTTTGATTTTGAAAATATTATATACTCCTTTTTAGTTTTAATCTATTGTATGTGTTACAGTAAAAATAAAGTCGATCGAATTATATATCAATTTTATTATCTTTTTTTCTAATTAAAAATTTAAAGTTGGTATAAATACATACCAATTTCACCATTCATCAAGCGCAAATTAATATATATTAAATAATATATAATATTTTGTAAATATTTAAATGGATCGAAATTAATTATCATTAAATTTATTCTATTTTTTTAAATAAATTAATCTTGTTTTGATAAAAAAATATGATTTAAAAATATTTATATTAAATTTGTTAAATTTAAATATTTTTATTATTTTTAGATATAATCAAAGTTTTTTATATATGATTAATTTTTATTAGTTTAAAATAATTATAAAATAATACCAAAACTATCATTTTTATTCTCGTTTTACTCAAAAGTGTACGATATCCGATAGAATCCACCATGTGTTTCATTTTTATCAGTTTTCTTTTATCGAATAAACAAAAACAAATTGATAGTTAGTGACTTAGTGCCACTTTTATAGAACATTAGAATCAATATGAAAATAGGATATAGTTCAATGGCCAATTTTTGAATAAAGCCATTTCATAACGAATTGCGCTGCACTACACTACCGTCGAAGTAGGGACACGTTAGGCATGTCGAGAAAAAGTAAATTCCCACGAATTGGAACCAAAATTTCCGAAACTCGAGATTGGCGCTCTTTAGAACCCCCCCCCCCCTCAGTAAACTGGCCAAGTGAAGTGGCGCTTCAAATTATTTTACCCTAGAACTTTCATTTCCCCCTTTCAATCTCTCTCTTGGTTTCAACCCATCGTTCTAAATTTCTCTTTCTCTCCCCAAGCTGCTATCTGGTGCCCGAAAGTCCCTAATTTAAGATGGAGCTAAATCTGACGGCGGGGGCGGTGTCTCGGATTATAAGCCGTGAGGTGTCGACGGAGAGGGATTTGAAACCTTTGCTTCAAGTGATAGAACTGAAAGAGGTTCAAACGACGTCGAAGAATCCTCAGCAGCAGCAGCAAGAACCGAAAAAGAGCGAGAGGTACAGGCTATTGCTGTCGGATGGGTCGTTGACGCAGCAAGGAATGCTCGCTACCAGTAAGAACGAACTTGTGAAATCCTCGAAGTTGCAAATTGGCTCCGTTATTCAATTGACTCAGTACATTTGCAACGTGATCCAAGATCGCATGTATGCTTGCCACACACTCTCTTCTTTTCTCTTTATATTTTTTATGTGAAAGATGAAAGAATTATTTTCTTGATTACTTTTTTTTTTTTTGCTTTGTTGGTCCATTTCGTATGTAAAGAACTTATATTTCGTTGGTTTTTAACTTGTGGCGGTGTGATTAGTTGTCTGTTTCTTGTGTTTTAAGCGGGGTTATATTTTTCTTCTTATTCTCCTTGTTAATTGATGGTGCTGGATTTGGGTGTAGTTTGATTGATTTCTTGTATTGTATTTCTAGAATTGTGTTTCTTGTGATTAATAACTTGATTTTTAGTTACTCTAGTCTGCAATTTTTGGTCTTGCAATGTATGGTGTTGATTTTTAGTTGGGATGACAATTGATTTGTTGGATCTTAACGTGTCATTGGCTCGAATGCTTGGATTTTTTTTTTTTTGAGATTGTATAGTACTGCACTTGTATATATTTATCCATTGATTTGGTTCTTTTCTTCTTGAGCTTGATTTTAATTTTCCAAGTAATGAATTTACCGTCTGTACACTTTGATGAGGGGTTCTGTGTTTATGTCCAGGTACCAGATTGGCCTTTTAATCAAGATGTATGATTTATGTGGCATATGTGTGTAGCTTATTCTGCTAATTGTCTTCATTACCTTATTTTCAATTCCATTCATGCAGGATTGTTATTATTATCGACTTGGAGGTGATAGTTGATAAATATGATATTATTGGGAAGCCAGTAGCAGCACCAAGATCTTCCAGGCTCACACAAGCCCCTACTGATCAACCTGGGGCAGTGATGGCACAGACCAACTCTTTAGGAGGAAGTTCACTTGGTGGCAGCATGGGTGATAAGCTGAACTCAGCTGGGACTACTCTGCAACAGCCTACAATGAACCAATGGCAGGGTGGTTCTCGTTCGAATGAATCTAAACAGATAAGAAGTCCTGCTGCTAATGCACCATCCTTTTACCCTAAAGCAGATCCTTCTTCTGGTTTTCCTGGACCATCACCTATAAATGGACCACTTGGTGTTCGGAGTGCTGGTTTCAATAATCCTAGGCCAGCAGCTTCACGTCCTGTAAGCACCTCTAACTTCCAATCCATACCCACATACCAGCAGCCATCTCCAATGTACAGCAACAGAGGCTCAGTTGCCAAGAATGAAGCACCACCCAGGATAATCCCAATTTCTGCTCTGAATCCATATCAGGGCAGGTGGACAATAAAAGCCAGAGTAACAGCCAAGGGAGAACTTAGGCGCTATAATAATGCTCGTGGTGAAGGTAAAGTTTTCTCTTTTGATCTTCTTGATTCTGATGGTGGGGAAATACGAGTGACTTGCTTTAATGCCGTGGTTGACCAGTTTTATAATCAGATTGAAGCTGGTAAGATTTATTTGATTTCTAGGGGAAGTCTAAAACCTGCTCAGAAGGCATTTAATCACCTTAATAATGAGCATGAAATATTTCTTGATAGCACATCAACAGTACAGCTATGTTATGAGGATGACAACAGAATTCCACGGCAGCAATTTAATTTCCGTACCATAAGTGAAATTGAAGGTATGGAGAACAATACTATGGTGGATATAGTTGGTGTGGTATCATTTATCAGCCCTGCTGTGTCAATAATGAGGAAAAATGGTATAGAAACTCAGAAGAGAACCCTTCATTTGAGGGACATGTCTGGTCGAAGTGTTGAATTAACTCTATGGGGATCTTTTTGCAATGCTGAAGGACAAAAGCTCCAATCTTTGTGTGATTCTGGAGAGTTTCCAGTTCTGGCTGTGAAAGCTGGTAGGGTGAGTGAATTTAATGGGAAGGCTGTGGGCTCTATCTCTACAACCCAGTTATTTATAGATCCTGATTTTCCTGAGGCTCACAGGTTAAAGGAGTGGTTTGTTAGTACGGGGAGGAACACTCCTTCTGTCTCTATTTCCAGGGAAACATCAACTGTGAGTAGAGCAGATAATAGGAACACTTTATCACAAATCAAAGATAAGAAGCTAGGAACTTCTGAGAAGCCAGATTGGATTACAGTAGTAGCAAGGATTGCATACATCAAGTTGGACAATTTCTGCTATACAGCTTGTCCTATCATGAATGGGGATCGTCAATGCAACAAAAAGGTTACAAATAATGGAGATGGGAAGTGGTGGTGTGATAAATGTGATAGGGCTGTAGACGAATGTGATTATAGATATATAATTCAGTTCCAGATACAGGATCATACAGGCATAACATGGGTGACTGCTTTTCAGGAATCTGGTCAGGAACTAATGGGGGTGTCTGCAAAAGATTTGTACCATTTGAGGTATGAAAACCAAGATGATGAGAAGTTTATGGAAATCACACGTCAAGTTATGTTCAATAAATATATATTCAAGTTGAAAGTGAAGGAAGAAATTTTTAGTGATGAACAACGTGTGAAATCAACAGTGGTGAAAGTAGAAAAAGTGAATTTTCCATCAGATTCAAGGTCCCTTTTGGATTTGATTGAGAAGATTAAAACAAATGATTTTGGTCCTTCTGCATCAAAGGCAGAGTTCAGCACTCCTAATCCTGGTCTGGGTTATGCTGCTGGGGTTGGGATTGATGGAAGCAGAGGTGCACCGACAATTGCTAGTAGAGAATATGGGTTGCCAGTAAACCAAGGGGGTCAATATGGAAACCATTACAGTGGTTCTAGGCTTATAGAAACTGCTTCAAGCATGAATATATTCTGTAATAGTTGCGGTGTTACTGGTCATAGCTCTACCAATTGTCCTACCATCATGAATGGTCCGGTACAGTCTGTTGGTAGGGACTACTCTGATAGAATGTATTCTGGGACAACTGTTGGCCAAGTATCTGGTGAGTGCTTTAAGTGCCATCAAACTGGACATTGGGCAAGAGACTGCCCAAACTCAGGTGCTGTACCTTTGAGGCACTGATTTTTCTGCTGGGAGATATGGAGGTCTTTTGAGGCAACAGGTAGGGTGCTGCTTCTCTTGTCTATTGAAATTGTATTGAACTTTAAATCAGTCCATAGTTTTTTTGGCATGTCATCTACCATTATAATTGTATGTTATTTGTTTCTCATGATTAGGACATTGGACTTGGGAGAGCCACGAGTTGCTGGTGGAATTCCATTTTTGACACCTTAAAGTGAACTGAAGCTTTCACGTTTCACACAATTGAAAATTGTCACTTCGGGTGTTGGACTTTCATTTTTCTCGTTTCTCCTTTTTTTTTGGTTGTGTTGTTGTTTGGTTACGAGTAAATGGCAGATGTAATTTCTACGCATGGGATTTTTCTATATATAACCATATTTGAGATGCGAGTCTGATGCTCTATCGACAAAGCGCGTTGCTTTTGGCATGCATGAAACTTTTGAACTACATGTAAATGGAAAAAGGGTAGCTTTTCAGGCATTGTGGTTTTGGTGTATTTGTTTTCAGCTCAATCTAAATCTCTGCAACTACAGGGTTCTATATTTTCTACACGTAAAAAAGTGGGATTTTGGTATAATCTTTGGTTGTACTAAAACCCTTTTTTTTAAACTACAATTGCTTGTTCCCTATCATGAGATGTCCAAGTTGCATTGCATCGCTGACAGGTAGGGGTGCACAAAAAATCCGAATATCCGATTTTACGAAAAAAATATCCGAAATCGGATTTGGGAAAAACCGGTTTTTTTTTAACCGGATCGGATTTTTTTTAAACCGGTTATTTTAACCGGTTTGGAGAAAAAAACCTAGACCGGTTTTTTTACCGGATAAAAAACCGGTTTGAAAAAAACTGGTTAAAAAACCGGTTTTTATCCGGAAAAAAAACGGTCTGGGTTTAAAAAACTAGTCGTTAATATAGCCGTTGGGAGGGTTTTGTGACCGTTTTTGACCGTTTTTTTCTTTAAAAAAATACCATTTTACCACCCTAAACATGTATAAATAGGTTGGGGATGTATTTGGTTGATTACAAATTTCTCAAATCTTATTACACAACACTTAAACATCTCTCAAATCTTACTTTTGTAATTTTTTGTTCATCATGAGTAACACGGCTGAATCTTCCATCGGGGGAAACCTTGAAGTCGTGAGAGTGATCGAACACACTCGAAACAAAGACATTTGGGATCACTACGATTTATGTGAGATGTCAAATGGCTCGAGGAGGGCGCGTTGTAAACTTTGTCTAAAGTTTCTTGCATCGGAAGGAAACACAACGTTGAAGAACCATTTGACAAAATCATGCAAGGCACTTCGCTCAAGATCAGATCCTAGTCAATCGAATCTTACACCGTAAGGTGGTGTTTTTGTTTACGACAACGAAAAATTACGAGAAGCGTTTACAAAGTTCGTGATTACAAAAGCATTGCCGTTCGACCACTTTGATGATGAAGATTTCACGATAACAATTCAACAACTAATGCAACCACGTTATACTCAAGTAAGTCGTACTACCCTTAGAAGAGATGCTATAAAAATGTGGCGTACGGCGAGGGAAAAAATGATTTTAGGATTCCAAGAACACCGTTATGGTGTGTCGCTTACATGTGACGTTTGGAGTTCCCCTCATAATACCGGAAATTCTTTTTTAGCCGTTACGTCACATTGGTTAGATCAAGATAATTGGCAAATGATGAAAAGAACAATCGCGTTTGAATTATTCGGTGAGCCGCATACCGGTGCTAATTTATTTACACTTTAAAAAAGGGTAATTTGTCTTTATAAATTAGAAAATAAAGTTTTTTCTATATCCTTTGATAATGCATCGAATAATACAAACGCGGTTCCAAGATTGAAAATATTACTTTCACCGATTTTAGACGGTGCGTTTTTTCATACCCGTTGCGTTGCACACATAATTAATTTATCCGTGCAAGCCAGTTTGGAGGTTATTGCAAAGGCAAAGGCGACCCTCCTAATCTAGTTTGTTCAATTCACAAACGTCAGGATTTAAACCCCTGACCTTTACTTAAGGGACTTAATATCTCATCCCATTAGACCAACTGGTTGTTAGTATAACAACTTTCATTTCATATTCACACAAACACAAATCACGTAGAAACAATTTAATGATCTTTCCTGTAAAAAATTTGCATCCACTCATCAAAGTAGCATCCGTTAATCAAAATAACATGATTAAAGTGAGTTAACCTGGTCATTATACAACAAATTTTATCAATGATAGAATTGATAACAGTCAAATTGAAATACTATAATCATTATTCATTAGGAGAGGACATGATGCTCCGAAGACGTATAAAAATTTCGAAGATCTTATAAATGGAAAAAAAAAATTGATTAACAATAAGGTCAGGAGGTATAATAAACTTGTATATATAAAATTATATATATTTTTGTAAATACTTGAACGGATCAAGACCATGATGATCATGGGGTTAAAAAAAATATCCACGACTGAATAGAAGCAGATATTCCTCAGATCAAACGAAGTGCAGACATGAAGAACGTGCAGGCAACTTGCAGAAATTGAGTATAAAAGTATTGGAGCCATGGTCAACACTCATTACCCCGCATGGAAGTCTCTATAGGCTGGCAATTGGAGAAGGAAAAAGGGCAAAGAAGAATGGGAAAGCAGATGATGAAATGGGCAATAATTGAGCCGGCAAGGCGGAGGCACATGCCATGTGGTGCTTTTAAGCTTTCCCTTTCACTATAATATGCTTTGAATCGATATTTTATGCATTTGTACATACATGCAGCGACGGCAAATTACGTGATAATAGGCAGGCATCATGCATGGATATTTATTTTTCCTTTGATTTTTTTTTTGGTAGTAAACGTGTTGAGCTCATGAGTTCGTGACAGCCACACCGTCACAAAGGAGTGGTTCTCTGGACTTTGCTCGCTTTTGTCCATTTCGGGACCACCGATTCCCTAAAACCCATGTGATTTCATTCGCTAATTTCTTATCCATCTCCCTCTCACTGCAAACACCGTATTCCCATGACACGTGATAACACGAAAACACCTTTTTTCATCCTTCAAAATATATTTTAATTGCACTAATCAACCGACTTTAATAGTCCAAAGGATAATCGTTATTTCTAAAAATTTAAATTTAAACACGATATTTATAAGAATATTTGAGCGTTTATTATCAAATTATTGAAAATATTTCAAGCAGAATAATAATAAAAAAATTCTCAATTTCTTTTTCTTGCAATTAAAAGTAGATGTAAGAGTATGTTTGTTTGCCGTAAATTGAATTACGAAATTAATTTTCCCTAAAATCTCGTATTTGTTTCACGTAATTCGTTTTTCGGAAAACGTTTTCCAGTGTTTGGTTGGAGGAAAACTGGTTGGTCAACGTAAAACATTTTCCTTGTCAACAGAATTTTCTGTGTTTTCTGAAAAATGACTTACGATCTGATTTTCTCTAAGTCATTTTCCGAACTTTTCACTTCAAATAATAAATACTCAAAATAATTCTATTTTATGAATTTAATATTAATAAAATATTTTAATATCATTTTAATCAAAATATTAATTATTAAAATATTTAAAATATATTTATTAATATTTCTAATAATATAATATTATATTTTTAATATTATAATAAAATAATCAATTATATTATAATAATATAAGATATTATATGTTTATTATAATAATATATAATAAATTATTAATAAATTTTATATTATTTATTAATTTCATAGAAATAATATTATTAAATTAATAATAATGAATAATATTATTTATATATTTAATATTAATCTAATAATATAATAATATTTTAATAAAGATATTTAAAATATACTAATTAATATTTTTAAAATATAATATAACACTATTGCTTTAATAAATAATTTATTATATTTTCATTTCAATAAAATATATCAATATTAATATTTTTATTAACAAAATTATAAAAATAATATTTAATAATAAATAAATTATTTTAATATTTTAAAATAATAATTTTAAGTTTTATGATAAATAATATTATTTATTATATTTAATATTTGTAATAAATAATTTTTAAAAAACTCATCAACTAGTGAAAAAAATGTTTAAACAACATCTTACAAACATCGTAAAACGTTTTTAAGAAAAATGTAATTCATTTTACGGAAAACGTTTTCCAGAAATGTAATTCATTTTCCAAAATTCAAATTTCAATAATTCTTTTTTTAAATTCAATTTCGAAAAACTAATTACAATTAGACAAACAGACCCTAAAATCTAAATTTAACTGATTTCTATTTGATTTTATAAAACTAATTTTTTTATATAAAAAACAGATCTGAACTAAGTTGTGGGACAGACTAAAATTTAAGATGTATCCCATCAATCTGTTTCAATGTAATTATAAAATTTTGATTATATATATGCTATTTACGAAAATACCATCTTATATCTAAGTTAACCTAAACTCATATTATCAAATAAAATACAAAAAAAAATATAAAATATATAAGAATTTAAATTTTTAACAAAAATGAATGTCCATTCCAATCCCCTTGATCCATCCATGACAAAATTAAGGTCGAATATAGATTTAATCAGTGACAAAACTTGGCGATAGAGTTTATGAGACAATTTAAAATTTTAAAAAAAATTAAAGGTTTAAATTAAGAATTTCAAAAATTAAGAAGAGTTCAATTCACATTTATTTTCAAAAAAATGGAGTCTAACTAAATTTTTTGGAAATTTGAGAGGCTTAATAATAATTTTTAAAAATTATGGGAATAATTTAATTAACAACATTAAAAAATTTTAAAACTTTCAATTTTTCGGGGTGGCCCCTATATGTCTCCACTTAGTTTCGTCATTGGATTTAATATTTTTTTATTAAACTAAGGTAATTACGAAATAGTATATGTTCTAAATATTCTCAACCATTTGACAATTAATGTTCAATCATCCTACCGCAATCACTGGTGCTCGAATCCATAACCTATAGGAACAACAACGATTCCTTTAACCACTGAGATAAGTTGATTCGTCTATTGTATATAATATTTTGCTTTGGATTAGACCAAGTATATTAATATTATGCTTGAATCGAATCGAATCGAAATCAAATCATATCATATAAAATTTAGATGTAGATCAGAGCGGCCAAAACTTCGACCCGCTCCCCTCCTTTTCCATCCCTAGATTCAACCTTAAATTGATTTTTCATGTGCAAATAATGATCAATCAAGATGAGGAAGACACACTTAGGAAACAAGTTAAATTAAATCTACCAAATGCCATTAACTTTGAGCCCTACAGATTACGACCGTTTTAAGCATAATTATGGACAAGTAGTTGGGAAAATGTGGAATACAATTATATATATATATATATATATATCTAAAGTCAAAAGTGGTTTCAATTATATGAATTGAATCAAGAGTATGAAATTCAATTCTCGGGATTTTAACGTATCAAGTGGTTTCAATTATTAAAGATAATAT